ATGGATCTGGTCTTCATGCTGGTCAATTCTCTTCTCAGAAACCATTGGAAAATCATTCTTTATAAAGGTTCAGAGGCTGTGTTTATGCTCCTTTTCCACAATGTGAGGTGAAATGGGGTTTAACGTCGCGTCCAATATTATTGCACTTATATAGCGACGTGTATGTACGTGTGTGTGTTTGTGTGGCTGCTTGTTCTAGTCCGGACTGATGCCGATTTATAGTGCTAGCTCACTGAGATACCATGCCGCAGTTTAACATGAATATCCCACTCAGACACAGTGTACTGTCTCCGAGCCGACCAGTCCTTGTTTTAGGACCTTAATGCCGAGCGCCAGACAGGGTAACAACAAGTACCATCTTTTAACGTCTTTTGGTATGACGCGGTTGGGGATCGAACCCCGGCCTTCCCCTCTCCGGGGGGACGCTCTACCACTAGACCACGGAGGCGGTCTTTTCACAATGAAATTAGATTTTCCAGTGTTTCAAAATTCAAAATTTCTGTAAGCACTCATCGGAAATAGGGTGTATGAAATCAATAGAACTGTAAGTTGTCTTAAAACATGCAAGCGAGGTAAGGGGCCTATTCAAGTGAGTGGCTTCATTCTTATTTAAGATATTTTGTATAACAACGATGTCCCAGAAAATTAATTAACCGAAACCCTTTCCTCAATCGACGAAAAGAAAGATGATGTTTGTTTTTCCTCGTAAGATATGTTTGTGGAGGGTCAAGATGTGATGCCACTTTTGGGATTGATGGTCGGAATTAGTTCCCAGGAACGTATGGTCTTCATAACAAGTGACTTCATGAATCAGGTAGTCAGCCTCTGTGACATGGTTGATAGCGGTCATCGTGTCCCGATGGTGTGGGTCTCTGAGACTTGGTTGATAGCGGTCATCGTGTCCCAACGGTGTGGGTCTCTGAGACATAGTTGATAGAGGTCATCGTGTCCCAACGGTGTGGGTCTCTGAGACTTGGTTGATAGCGGTCATCGTGTCCCAACGGTGTGGGTCTCTGAGACATGGTTGATAGCGGTCATCGTGTCCCAACGGTGTGGGTCTCTGTGACATGGTTGATAGAGGTCATCGTGTCCCAACGGTGTGGGTCTCTGAGACATAGTTGATAGCGGTCATCATGTCACAACGGTGTGGGTCTCTGAGACATAGTTGATAGCGGTCTTCGTGTCCCAACGGTGTGGGTCTCTGAGACATGGTTGATAGCGGTCATCGTGTCCCAACGGTGTGGGTCTCTGAGACATGGTTGATAGCGGTCATCATGTCCCAACGGTGTGGGTCTCTGTGACATAGTTGATAGCAGTCATCATGTCCCAACGGTGTGGGTCTCTGAGACATAGTTGATAGCGGTCATCATGTCACCATGGTGTGGGTCTCTGTGACATGGTTGATAGCGGTCATCGTGTCCCAACGCTGTGGGTCTCTGAGACATGGTTGATAGCGGTCATCATGTCCAAACGGTGTGGGTCTCTGAGACATGGTTGATAGAGGTCATTATGTCACAACGGTGTGGGTCTCTGTGACATGTTTGATAGCGGTCATCATGTCACAATGGTGTGGGTCTCTGTGACATGGTTGATAGCGGTCATCATGTCACAATGGTGTGGGTCTCTGTGACATGGTTGATAGCGGTCGTCGTGTCCCAACGGTGTGGGTCTCTGAGACATGGTTGATAGAGGTCATCGTGTCCCAACGGTGTGGGTCTCTGTGACATGGTTGATAGAGGTCATCGTGTCCCAACGGTGTGGGTCTCTGTGACATGGTTGATATAGGTCATCATGTCCCAACGGTCTTGGTCTCTGTGACATGGTTGATAGCGGTCATCATGTCCCAACGGTCTTGGTCCCTGTGACATGGTTGATAGCGGTCGTCGTGTCCCAACGGTGTGGGTCTCTGTGACATGGTTGATAGCGGTCGTCGTGTCCCAACGGTGTGGGTCTCTGTGACATGGTTGATAGCGGTCGTCGTGTCCCAATGGTGTGGGTCTCTGTGACATGGTTGATAGCGGTCATCGTGTCCCAATGGTTTTGGGTCTCTGTGACATGGTTGATAGCGGTCATCGTGTCCCAACGGTGTGGGTCTCTGAGACATGGTTGATAGCGGTCATCGTGTCCCAACGGTTTGGGTCTCTGAGACATGGTTGATAGCGGTCGTCGTGTCCCAACGGTGTGGGTCTCTGAGACATGGTTGATAGCGGTCATCATGTCCCAACGGTCTTGGTCCCTGTGACATGGTTGATAGCGGTCGTCGTTTCCCAACGGTGTGGGTCTCTGTGACATGGTTGATAGCGGTCGTCGTGTCCCAATGGTGTGGGTCTCTGTGACATGGTTGATAGCGGTCATCGTGTCCCAATGGTGTGGGTCTCTGTGACATGGTTGATAGCGGTCATCGTGTCCCAACGGTGTGGGTCTCTGAGACATGGTTGATAGCGGTCATCGTGTCCCAACGGTTTGGGTCTCTGTGACATGGTTGATAGCGTGTCATTATGTCCCAACGGTGTGGGTCTCTGTGACATGGTTGATAGCGGTCATCGTGTCCCAACGGTGTGGGTCTCATTGCGCATAAAATCAATCACTGTATAGTCTGGTCCAGACTCAATTATTTACAGGCTGCGGTCATATTGCTGGAATATTGCTGAGTGCGGCTTTAAACATCAAATAATATGTGATGGCTTATTGTGTGAAAAGATGTGCCTCATGTCTGTGGATCAGATATTACATGTACCTGAATGACGGTCCTTGGTTGGCCAGCACCAGGCCTTGTAAGAAGTGAAACCTATGACCTACATCACCCATAGCGTTACTCCCAACTGTACCTGACCCTAAGGATGTGAAGAGGGGATAGGGTAGCCTAGTGGTTTAAGCGATCACTCCCCAGCCTGAAGGCCCGGGACTGACTCCCAACAATAATGTGGAACTCATGTCTGGTGTTCTCGGAATGATGGTGTGATGGAATGTTGCTAAAAGGAGCGTTCAACCCAATGGGCTCCTTCACTAATTATAAAGAAAGGTATGAATAATGTTTAATAAAAGATGTGTTGACTAGTGATAATGCCCTTGTCTGACTTGCATGGAAACATGTTCACAGTTTAGCGTGTTCAGGCAAAGTTATTGTCCCTTTATGCCCAGTGTATGGCAGTGGGACTAAGGGTTGAAGTGTTGAGCTCTCATTGGGACCCGGGTTAGATTCCCCGGCATTTCAGTCGATACAATGTTTGTTCGTGTACCTTGAAATTGGAACTAATAATATTTGTTTTACTGTCATCTCGTTATTGTAAATGTATCTTTTACATATTTACTGGACTTCTTGTCAGAAATGACCTTGAACAAGAGGTTTGTTTTATATTGTCACCTTGATCCTTGATCGACCGTGTATATTTTATATTTCTAAGTCATCGTGTTTGTGTATGCCAGTTTGTGAATGACATCTGCTTAAAAAGTCAAGTGCTCATCGATGTGTTTGTCGTTCTTTGAACTGAGGTCATCCAGAGGAAGGCGGGATGAATCAACAACTTGTTGTCAAGGTGAAACCTGTGACTGTGGGTTCGAATCCCACATCAGTCATATTCAGAACATCTCAGAAATTATTGTCCCCCTGAGAGGGTATGTAAGACCATGTCTTTCAAAGTATATTTATTTGTCCCACACTTTTAATCGTAGCATATGTGTTATTTTAATGTACGCTAACTTTATCAACAGCTGAAGAGATGATGTAAATCCGGCTGAGGTCCATGCAGGTAGCAAAGGTACTGTAAGTCCCCATGGACCATAGCATGGTGGTCTACCTTCAGGGGCTGGCGATCTATAGCCTCTTTTCATCTTGTATCGTTATGTATAGTGCTCTTCTCTTTTATAATTCCGTACTAGTTTTATATCTTTTTCTGTGATGACTCTAGTAATTTTACTTTCCTTCGTTGACAGGTTTTTTATACAAGTTTTCAATATATATATTGTGTTTAACTATTGATAGTCACGATATGGCTGAAATATTGCCCATGTGACTTAAAATTTAACTCAGTCACTCACTCAGAACATCTCAGTGTTTGTCCTTTAACATCGCTCTTTCACACAAATACTAGGCACATAAACCAGTATCCGGCCAGTGGTTATCTTCATAAGCAGTGCATTTTTAACCCTGTTTGTTGTGTGACAAGAGAGAGATGGATACACAGATATTTATAGGGGCGGTCAGGTTGACTTGTGGTTAAAGCGTTCCCTCGTCACGCCGAAGACCCGGGTCCAATTCTCTATACGATATGGTACAATGTGTGAAGCCCATTCCTTGTGCCCCCCGCCTTGATATTGCTGGAAGAGTACCAAAAGCGTCGTAAAACCATACTCACTAACTTATAACCTGTTAAAGTCATTTAGAAGATTATTTAAACGACATCACTCTAGGAGGATGGTGTGTGGCTGAACTTGTTCTGGACAGATGGTTCGATGTTTCTTTTTTTGTACATTAAATTCACAATGCTATTTAACTCTCTAATATGGTGTGTACTAGTGGTGTAACGATACGGCGATACAGTATTGTATCCCGATGCACAGCCCACGATACGATGCATCGATTTGGAAAGCATGTATCGCGATACATACGATATTTTCATAACACAGTTTTACCTACCGTATTTTCTTGAGTATAGTGCGCACTTTTTTTTCCAAAAAACACAGCTGTGTAGAAAGGGTTGCGCATTATACACGAATTAATGAGTTTTTATGTTTTTCCCCCATGGAAAGACATTACCGTGAGCACGTAACACCGGAAATACCATGCCAACAAATCCACACAGACCCCTGTATCGCGATACGTATCGTATCGCGACCCTCCCGTATCGTTACACCTCTAGTGTGTACCAGCACCATTGTGTCAATGGTATCATCATATGTGCCGTTAAGTTCAATGACTGGTCTACAAATGGTCTACTGGTCCTCTGCCACTTTATCAGGTCTAAATAGGTCATGGAAACAGAGATAAAGCAACACGCTGATTCTTTTAAAATAATATTATGTTATACTTGGTGCTGCAGAGACATTTTCAATGCTGACTAATTTGTTGTGGCCAAAGATTTATACTGAAGGGAATTGGTAGCAAGATTAGGCAAACGTCTGATACTCGTTGGTCCATCTAAGCACATGGTATGCAACATACACAACCGTCTTGATACTCATTTCTCCAAATCCTCTGATCTCAGAACATGGTATACAACATACACAACCGTCTTGATACTCATTTCTCCAAGTCCTCTTATCTTTGCATATGGTATGCAACTTACACAACCGTCCTGATACTCATTGCTCCAAATCCTCTTATCTCAGCAAATGGTATGCAACATACACAACCGTCTTGATACTCATTTCTCCAAATCCTCTTATCTCAGCATATGGTATGCAACATACACAACCGTCTTGATACTCATTTCTCCAAGTCCTCTTATCTCAGAACATGGTATGCAACATACACAACCGTCTTGATACTCATTTCTCCAAGTCCTCTTATCTCAGAACATGGTATGCAACATACACAACCATCTTGATACTCATTGCTCCAAATCCTCTTATCTCAGCAAATGGTATGCAACATACACAACCGTCTTGATACTCATTGCTCCAAGTCCTCTTATATCAGCATATGGTATGCAACATACACAACCGTCTTGATACTCATTGCTCCAAATCCTCTTATCTCAGCATATGGTATGCAACATACACAACCGTCTTGATACTCATGGCTCCAAGTCTCTTATCTCAGCATATGGTATGCAACATACACAACCGTCTTGATACTCATTGCTCCAAGTCCTCTTAACTCAGCACATGGTATGCAACATACACAACCGTCTTGATACTCATTGCTCCAAATCCTCTTATCTCAGCATATGGTATGCAACATACACAACCGTCTTGATACTCATTGCTCCAAGTCTCTTATCTCAGCATATGGTATGCAACATACACAACCGTCTTGATACTCATTTCTCCAAGTCCTCTTATGTCAGCACATAGTATGCAACATACACAACCGTCGTGATACTCATGGCTCCAACTGTTATCGCAACATATGGTATGCGATATGTACAACCATCGGTATCAGGCTAATGATGGCTGCAATGATTAAGACAGGACATACGATTTTCTAGTACTTGTCCAAAACAAACAAAAGCCTCCTCCCCTCTCCTTTTAAAACACTCTCTAGGATTTTGCTCAGAGAGACATAAGAAATGGCAGGTGTATCTTCTGTTGGGACGTTCTCTCTCCGCTGTGTGTTTTTCACTTTTACCAGGAGATGATTGATGCATGGGTGGTTGTTTAGGCACCTGTTGACCAGCCATGGCAGTGGCACACATGAAGATAGCAAGGAGGATGACCGCCAGCTGCATCTGTGAGAAAAGACATATCAGTATTAACAAAGGATACAGGACTATCCCAAAATGTAAAACATGTGATGTGCATATTTCTGAATTGTGCACACTGCAAAATCAACTCAAAATCTGATTCACTTTATGACAGACCCGTGAAGATCCGGGGTAGAATATGTCTTCAGCAACCCATGCTCGCCGGAAATGGCGACTATGCTTGTCGTAAGAGGCGACTAATGGGATTGGGTTGTCAGGCTCGCTAACTTGGTTGATGCATGTCATCGTATCCCAATTGCGTGGATCGATGCTCATGATGTCAATCATTGCATTGTATGGTCCAGACTCGATTATTTACAGGCCTCCGTCATTTTGCTAGAATATTGCTGAGTGCGGCGTTGAACAACAAACAAACCAGACCAAAACCACTTTATAACAGCTTTAGATTATATACAATGATATATGAACCTCCCATAAGTATACATTTATATTGAACATGGCACTGACAGGTGATGCAGTAAGCACTACACTCCTCAGTTAACCAAGTCATTTGTTCAATTTGTCTATTTTGTTTAATTGACGTGGGGGATAAACATGATGTGTTATTTATTTGCAGCTATCATTGAGTATGTGATGCCTATAGACACGCGTCGATTCCGCTTAGGACTCGTCCCTATCAACTTATGCTGTACGAGGCGACTTGGATCAGGTGATCAGGCTCGGTGATTTGGTTGATGACGTGTCAATGTGACCCGAGAAGATTCCGGGGTAGAATAGGTCTTCAGCAACCCATACTTGCCGTAAAAGGCGACTATGCTTGTCGTAAAAGGCGACTAACGGGATCGGGTGGTCAGGCTCACTGACTGGGTTGATAAATGTCATCGATCCCAATTGCGTGGATCGATGTTCATGATGTCAATCACTGGATTCTATTGTCCATACTCGATTATTTACAGACCGCCGTCATATAGCTGGAACATTGCTGAGTGCGGCGTTAAACAACAAACAAACAAACGTGTCAATGTATCCCGACCGCGTGGATCGTTGCTTATAATATCGATCATCGGTTTGTCTGGTCCAGACTCAATTAATTACAGGCTGCGGTTATATAGCTTGAATATTGCTGATGTACATATGACTTTAAACAACAAACAGACACACACTTATAATTAAGTATTCAATGCCAAGATTGACCCGCGTCGATTCCAGGTAGGTTCAACCATGCATGGAGTTCAGCTCAAAACCGCATGACCGTTATGTTTAGAAACAAGGGATAACTGTATGACACCGAATACACTTTACCTGTTACTTTGTTTTGTTTGTTTGTCATATTGAATTTATAATTCATTTCAACTCTCATGTAAGTAGTATTAACGGGTGCTTCACCTTATGTCCTGATTCCTGACTGTGACGTCATCGTCCGCAAACAGCCTTGGACATCCAGTCAGCAGAACGACCGTTGCTAGACGACTCCGCCTGTATGGTCTCCGTGCATATCGACCTTTCAAGGGCATGACGTTAACGTTTCTACACCGACGTCACAGACTGAGATCGGCCAGGAATGTACAGCAGTGGCAGCAGAAAAATTGGCGAAGAGTGCTCTTAAGCGACGAGTGTAGGTGCCAGCTCTTCAAGTCTGATGGGCGGGTTTGAATCTACCGACGGCGTGGTGAACGGACGGCACGTTGTTGCGTCCAAGAAGTGGAGTCATGGTCTGGGATAGCATCTGCGGGGACCATAAGACAGCCATCATCGACGGAAATCCCACTGCACGTCGTTACATTGATGAGGTTTTGCGGCCTGTGCTACTGCTTTTCCTGCAACGACACCCACGGACGCTGTTTCAGCAGGACAACGCCACCCCTCACATAGCAACGTGACCGTAATACAGTGGCCAGCCAGATCTAGATCACCGGACCTGTCGCCCACAGAGCCCCTCTGGGACCAACTTGGACGCGCAGGATTCGGAAACGTCAACAGTCGCCATTGACGAGGGATGCCTAGGCAATTGCCCTGCAGGAAGAATGACGTAGGATCCCTAATCAGGATGTCTGGAGGGGGTCATATCCGATACTGAGCCATGTGAGCCGTGTGTGTAGCACGAGACTTTAAAGGGATCAACGTCGATTCTGCTGGTGTGATCGAATACTGGACAGGGCACCAAGCATGATAAACATGTCTGCAGAACTCGAAGTTTTTTTATCTTGTCATTTTCAAATACCGTTTTTGAGCATTTGTTTTATAATAAAACATCAGCTGTTGCTAAATTTTGCGTCTGTTTTGTTTTAGACCAGAAAATTGTTCGGTGGCGTTTCTTTTGTCAGTTAGTTTAAATGACACTTTCGTGTTTGACGTCACACATATTTATCATTTACACGGCGTAACAAGCCGATTAAACTTAGAACTTTACAAATTGCAGCGCCACCTTGCGTTCTTTTTTGTCAACGTTGTCCTTTAGCAGTTTAGTGTCCTTTTGTGCACTGACGTTCTTTTGTACACATTGTTCGTTCGTTACGTATGATGTCTCTTGTTTGCAAGTTGTACATTGGTATCGTTTAGTATTTTGAATTCATTATTTGCATGTCAACAACGACCTTTATTTGTAATATTCATTCTTTATTCGTTATATTTGACTATTATTGCGTTCTTTTGTCCTTTATTTAAACTTACACAGAGAGACACACACACATTCACTCACACATACAGATACACACACAGTCACACAATGATTTACACATACTTACTCAAACACAATCACACACACACACATTCACTCAGTCACACACACATGCACGCACAGACACACTCACACATACACTTATTCACGCACAGATACACACACAGGCACACATACTCACTCACACACAGTTACACACACTCACACACACAGATACACACAGACAGACACACACACATTCACACACAAACACACACGCAGACACACACACCGACACTCATACACACTCAGGATAACGGTAACATCAGCTCTCAATCCTGCCTGTTTAGGCACAATTAGTAAGTAGCATAACCATCGACAAAGTCATAAATTTGGTCGGAAGTGTTTGCGACGAGTAAGAATTAGTGCTGCTTTCAAACTTATACTCGAAAAAGTTTCATGACGAGTTTTTTCATATACATCAGCCATGACAGGAATAGAACTGCCTCCGAGGCCTCGTGATTAGAGCGTCTACCGGAGAGACACTCATCATTAAGTGGATTCAACAAGGTCTGGTCGGCTCGGAATCAGAATGCTGTGTCTGAGTGGGGTATCCATGTTATGGTGTCGTGACGGTAAACCCCATTTCGCCTCATTGCCGTGACAGAAATACAAGTAATGCTGAAGGCACATGAAACAAAACTCGATCACTCAGAGCTTTTTCCAAATAACTATTTGGATTGCTACTGTTCATTTTAATTCATTTGGGATTAACAAAGACAAATGTTTTGGTTGGCAAAAACGATGATGGTACAGATTTGATTTATTCATTACAATACGAGGTTATAAACAAAACTATGAAAAATTGTTCGGATGATTACAATACCAAACATAATGTCTTTGTGGAGGTAGTTTTGTTTTCAGATGACATACCTATATTAGCACATCATCAGTTTTATACTTACATGGCTCAAAGTATAATCTTGAATATGTTAAAAATTGCTGACGGATGATGAAAAATATGCTGGAAGCAGAAACAGTAAATCGAGTGGAAATGAACAAGGTAAGGACCTGCCTTTTCTACAGATATGCTTGATCATGCTAATGCTACCACAGAGCTGTGTTCTTGTAATGTGCTGTTAAGCTATTTTTCTTACCTTTCAAGTATTTCTGGTTCCTGTAATGTGCTGTCACCCGCTGGAGTATCTGTTACACCTGAAATATGCTGTCAATCTTCTGAGAACCGGATGTCAGTCTGTCCTCTTTTTGCGTCCTTGTTCTCTTCACGTGTTGTGCTGCTTTTTCTGTAAACCTTTCACTTAAATGTCCCTGTCGCCACACTGCAATGATCGTGCTTGTTTGTACACAATCTTACATGACTCACCCCCAACCTTGACCCCGGTTTAAATATCATGCTTGTCCTGACCTGAAATGATGCTGTAATCTCATGCCTATCGTGTTTCTAAATGTGCATGCATATATGGGTCAGTAATATCCTACGACGTAAAGCCCCTGAATGTGGGTTTTTTCCGTCTTCAGGGCTACAATTTAATATATAACTTCAATCATTCAGAATCAAGGATATAAGTAATATGAGAATATTGTTTTGCTACCTTAAGCTCCCGTGTTGTTGTTTTTATATTATGATTTCGGATTTTGGTTATAGAAATACGTTTTGCGATACTCAACCTTCTTTAATGAATAGAAACAAAAAAACAACACTTTGTAACCATGGTAACTCATTAATTGTTTGTCAATTTGGGGGACTTTTGAGGAGTGTGCTTTTGACCGAAATATTGCTTGATTACATCCTGTGTCTGTGGTAGAGTTACTGTGCAGGTCCACCATCAACCGCATAAATCTGTTTCACGTCTATCTAAATATTTTGTTTTATATTGATCTGTGGAATTTACTTTATTGTTTTTCTGTGTATGTTTTGTTTATAGATGTTTAATTTGTTGTTCTCGCTGTATGGCTAAAAATGGGGGCACGGGTGGCCCAGTCGTCTCAGGCGCCGCGATTCGCTGTGCATAGTTGCGTCCCCTGGACACGCCAGAAACCTATGATTGTGGGTTCGAATCCCGGTTCGCCCCGATTATGTTTCTAGGTTTGTCAGCACCATACCCGTGCTCGTGGGTTTCACCGATGTGGTAAACGTCTGAGACCTGCATCACTTCGGGCTGTCCTCCCACATAAAGCTGACACGCCGTGATATAACTGGAATACTGTTTAAAGCGGCGTTAAACCCAACTCACTCACTGTATGGCTAAATAATGCCGACTAGTCCATTTCGTTCCCTTTATTCTTTCTCTCAGCACTCTAGACTTTCTCTGTGTATTATTCACAAATACCATATCATATTACTCATTTCGATTAGAACTTGCAACACGCCATGGCCGTTTATATGATTGGTCCAATGTGTGTTTACGCCAGTCAATGTAATATGACACATGTGAGCGTTCTTGAAGATAATATCGTGGACAGATAAGCTTTGCATCCTTTTCATTGTTTTTAAACAAGTTTCCCGAGAAGAGGGGAATCAGGACATGTGGTATGTTTACAGGTTCCGGTTTTAAACCTAGGTATCCATTACCCTGCGTCTATTCCTATTGTGCAGACCTCCTATAAATGGCACGTGTGAGTTAGTTAGATTGTGCGTTTCGGCATTTTGTGATCTGAAACTCTGAAACTTCGTATGAAGGACGTTAGCTATGGTGTCTTTAAACTTTGCTGAAGACCAGCACTGACCGATATATCTCCCAGGCAGCAGGGGGTTAGGTGACCCACTCGTGTATGGAACCACAATTCACTATGCAGAGTTGTGTACCCTAGGCGTGCCAGGAACCTATGGTCGTGATACTTGTCAAAGCGGCGTTACGCCAAACATATTCATTCACTCAATTCAAAAGTAAAGTGTGTTTTCTCTTTTTTGTTATGTAGGATTGTTTCAGTGGTTATAAACACCAAAATATACTGAACCGCAAACGAAACGTCACCCCAACGTAACATTGCATGAAAAGTTGTCACTCAAATATCTGGGTAATTACTGTCATAGTTTCTAAAATTGAACTTGAAATTACTTTGTCCGGAAAAATGAAATTTGGTGACAAAAAAATCCAAAGCAGATGACAATAAAACCGATCGCCCAAACGCATCACGGCAAAGGCAACGGCTATGGCAAACCGATGCACGTGAGTTCCGTGCAAATAGAAATGCACATGCGTTCCCCCATTTCTTGCCCTATAAAATCCACCCAGATCGGATAACATTCATTCGTTATTGAATTGCTACCACATGCCAAGATTAACAAGAAATCAGCCAAGACAAGCCCTTGGACGATTGCAAGCTGGACAAACTGCCCGGCAAGTAGCCAATGCATTTCAAGTCCACAAAAGGACCATATACAGGCTCCGGCAACGATACCAGACCACCAACACCACAAATGACTGACCACGTAGTGGAAGACCAAGGGTCACCACCCGACGTCAGGATCGTCAGATTGTGCGACATCATCTTCAAGATCGCTTTGTTACTGCTGCGGAAACTGCTCGACAGACCATGGGGACACACCAGCGACACATACGTACGGACTGTGCGTCGTCGATTGACGAGCAGACACCTCCGCTGTCACAGGCCACACCGAGGACCCATTCTGACACAACGTCATCGCCGGGACCGTCTTTAGTGGGCAACACAGCACCAGCATTGGCGCCACCAGCAGTGGAGAAGAGTCCTCTTCTAAGGCTGGAGCCGTAACAGTATCTGTATCTCAACAGCAGATGGCAGCACCGTGGGGGACGTTATTCGGATGTTTGTGTTGTTGAGAGAGACTCGTGGGGTGGTCCGTGCATCATGATGTGGGGTCGAATAGGTCTTGCACAGAGGGTCGGCCCTGTGGTCTTCCAGAACATCGGTCCAGGGAGCGGCAATGGTGTCACAGCAGCTCGGTACATTGATAAAGTCTTGAGACTACACGCCATACCTCATTTGGCACGTCGCCGCAACCACGAGTTTTAGCATGATAACGCCCATGCCCACACTGTAAGAGCTACAAGAGACTTCCTCCAGCAGAATGGCATCAGAACCATGCAGTGGCCTGCCCTCAGTCCCGATTTAAATCCCTTTGGGACGAGATTCAAAGACGACTAAATGACGTCCGACCAAGGCCGACAACTGCAGCTGAACTGCGTTAGGCGTTCCTCGGAGTGTGGGATCAAGTGCCCCTGGTCTTCATCAACCGCCTCATTCATTCCATGTATCGACGTTGCACGACAGTCATCAATGCACATAGCCGATACACGAGACTTGTGATGCCATTAGAAATAGGTGGCGTGATAGTGATACATAGTAGTGGGTTGGCTTTACTGCTGCGGAAAGTGCTCGACAGGCCATGGGGACACACCAGCGACACATTAGTACGGACACCGTGCAACATAGTATTGGGTTGCTTTCTTGTTTTACGCCGCACTCAGCAATATTCCAGCTATATGACGGTCGTCTGTAAATAATTGAGTCTGGACCAGACAGTCCAGTGATTGACATTATAAGCATCGATCCACGCAATTGGGACACGATGCCATGCATCAACCAATTCAGCGAGCCTGACCAGCCGATCCCGTTGGTCGCCTCTTACGTCAAGCATACTCGCTTTTTACTGCAAACATTGGTGCTGATGACCTATTCTACCTGACCCCGTGGTGTTTTGTCCATCACCACCAAACTGTGCCAGACGGATTTTTCAATGTGCCACAGTCGTGGAATTAAAGTACAATAAAATTTGCCGTTGATGTTTCAAAATCATATTTGATAATCACAAGACTATTCACTTTGTCATCATTACCCATGATGCCCCTGAAATGTTTCCCAGTCATTATATAAATAAGTTCCTGTGAGTGGAAGTCTGTCACACATTCGCAATACGCGTCCAACGAGTAATTATTTGAAGCGTTTTAACTATGAAAAGCAATTTTTTGCCCGCCAATTATGCCAATATTATGCCAAACCTATCCGAAAACGAGCGGTATATTTTCAAACATTTTTCATTCGAGTGTGTAATGGACATAATGCCACGCGTGATTATGTTAATCTACCACACGGCACAGCATCGAGTGTTCTGCCCACAGCATCGAAAGGATTGGCAGCATTGTCCATCAACACCAGCGCCAGATAACAGCACTGCAAACAAACCAGCTTGGTTTCCCAAATGTGCAGACTGTACTTTAATTTCTGGATTTTAGCTCACCTTGGCAAAGTTTCCTCAAAGCATCGTGCAAGATCGACAGTCGTCTTTCTTGTTTTCCCAAGAGAACTATCAACAGTGACAACACTTTACATTGATGATTTTTCTTATAAGCTATTTGTCCCTGTGTGATAGCGGTTTCACACTCCGTTTTTGCCTTGTATTAAATTAAGTTTTCGACAGCTTGAGACTGTCGCAGTAATTAAGTCAAAATATTTACTACTTAACATTTGGTGCTGGGAACAATAGTGCATGACGTTAATACTACTATACACTATCACATTGCCATAGCTGCGTGGGTGATACTTTCCATGTTAGAACTGGCATACATGAGGTCGTAAGAGTCGTATTGCCAGCACTCACATGATACTAAATATTTCCTGATTGGCGTATTACTCTGTTATTAATAAATTCATAAATTTGAATTGTGTGCAAAGTACATGCACCATTATAGTTCATGTGTTGTCTGGGGCGGTCGGGTAGCCTAGTGGTTGAAGCGTTCGCTCGTCACGCCGAAGGCCCGGGTTCGATTCCCGACATGGGTACAATGTGTGAAGCCCATTTCTGGTGTCCCCCGCCGTGATATTGCTGGAATATTCCTAAAGGCGGCGTAAAACCAAACTCACTCACTCACTCAAGTGTTGTCTGGGTGTGTTGTGCGTGTATCCAACTGGTCTGCACATACTAACAACCCACGTTTGGACTGAAGACGCTTGTAACGTTGGTAATGATTATTTGTATATTCCAATATGCAAGGGATCGGCGGAGGTTCTTGGTAGCAAGAGACAACATGGAGTCGATGGCTTGCGGTGTATAAAAGTTTGTTCATACTAACAACGTTTGAACTCAAGACGGCAGGTCAGCACATGGTGATAGTGTCTTGGTGTACCCGGAGCACCTAGCCTAACCAAAGCTAGGCTGAGGGTGAGACCCTATTTTTCGTCTCTGCACCAAGGCTTACATACCCGAGACCATCTGACACAGATTAAGTCATAGACAACAGTAATTATGAGAAGTGACATAGTTGCACAGGCGGTTCGGGATGGCTGACAGTCAATGGGGATTAAAAATTAGCATCTTATAAGTAATGTCAGTTAAGTAATTCTAGACATATACTTGTCATGGCTACAGGGTAATTA